CCGCCACGGGGTCCACGGCCGACACGTTGAGCGTGGCCGACGCGGTGGTGTTGCCGGCCGAGTTCGTCACCATGCACGTGTACTGGCCCGTGTCCTGCACCGTGACGTTGGTGAAGTTGAGCGTGCCGTCGTGCAGGACGGAGATGCGCACGCGGTAGGAGCCGTGCGTCATGAGCGTGCCGTTGGGCGTCAGCCAGTTGACGGACGTCATGGAGGTGCCCGTGCGGCACTTGAGCTCGGCGGCCATGCCCTCGGTGACGTTGAGGTCCGTGGGCGGCTCCACGATGACCGGCGCGTAGCAGGTGAAGTGCGACTGGTCCAGCTCTCCGATGTAGCGCCCCTTGAGGCCGGCGGGCGCGTGGCAGCGCGCGCAGCACGTGGTGTTGCTGGGCACCGTCTCCTTGAGCCACCAGCTGAGCCACAGCACGTCGCAGTTGCAGTGCCAGGGGTTGTGGTTGAGGTGCACGCGCTCGAGGCGGTGCAGGGGCGTGAAGAGGTCGTGCGGCAGCGACATCAGGTTGTTGTGGGACAGGTTGAGCTCCTCCAGGGACTTGAGGTCGTCGAAGGCGTTGCGCTCGATGGTGGCCACCTGGGCGTGCATGAGCCACAGCTTGCGCAGGCTGGTGAGGCCCTGGAAGGAGCCGGGGCGGATCAGGTCCAGCCGGTTGCCCGACAGCTCCAGCTCCTCCAGCCGCACCAGCGCCGTCAGGTTGGGGATGTCCTTGAGGTTGCACATCCCCAGGTTGAGGTAGCGGAGGTTCACCAGGCCCTCAAAGGCCGCCTCCGAGATGTACTCCAGCCGCTTGAGCTCGCCCAGGTCCAGGCGCCGCAGCGAGGGCACGCGGTTGAAGGCGTAGGACGGGATGCTCTCGATGGGGTTGTTGCGCAGCCAGAGCTCCCGCAGCTTGGACAGGTACTCGAAGGCCTGCGTGGGCACCGTGGTCAGCCGGTTGTCGAACAGCTCCAGCGTGTTGAGGCTGGGCAGCCCGTTGAAGGCGCCCACCTCGATCTTGCGCACCAGGTTCTTGCTCAGCTGCAGGATCTCCAGGTGCCGCAGGTGCTTGAAGGTGTCGGTCCGGATCACCTGCGGGGGGGGGGGGGGGACGGTCAGTGACGCCCAGACGCAGGCACCCAGTCCCGAGGGTGGGGCCGTGCGGCGGGCGCACGGGGTGGGAGGCCGCTGGGACAGAGCCGGCTGTGCCCTGGAGCGGAAACCCGCCCCCGGCTCCCCGGGGTTTCCCGTGCCGGAGAGCACGGGTCTCCCGCGGCGGCCAGAGAGGCGCGACTGCGTGTCCCACGTGCTCTGTGGCCCACGACTGAGGCTTGGGCGCGGGGAAGGGCCCGAGGGAGCTTTCTGGGGGGTCAAAGGGGGGGTTGGAAATGTTCCCTGCTGGCGGTCGCGCTGTGGCTGGAGACAACTGTCCACCCTGGGCTGTGTTCGGGAAAGGGGCATTTCGTGATGTGAATTATTCCTCAATAAAAATGAGTAAATGCCGCCAGCAGCAGCCAACAGCATCGGCCCACACACCTCTGGAGCCCGCCGCCGCTCCCCCTGGGAGGCAAAACTCAGTCAGTGCCGGAAGCCCAGAGATGGGGACTGACCAAGGCCTTTGTTTCAGGGGTCCAGGAAGCCCCAGGAACCCCAAGACGCTCATGGCCTTTGCAGCCAAATCCCATTTGGTGGCAAAACCCGATCAGAACACACGCGAAGCTATTTAAAGCCTGTGCTGATTTCATTCATGTGACTTTAAAAACAGCTCACTCTGGAAATACTCCCACATTTGATAAAAGGGGTGTGGGACCCCCTGGGGCGCTCTAAGATCCCTGCCTCCCCTTTCCAATGCCCAACACCCCACCTCCGCCTCCAGGATTTCACCAGCGATGGGGGGTCCGGGAAGGCCCAGCAACTAGCTCAAGGTCATGCAGGAGAGGGGCAGAGCTAGTGGGGGGGGGCTGGGCTGGGGCCAGGGTGCCGGCTGGTCACCCCAAAGGTGGCTGCCACCCCTCAGGGTTAAGGCTGGGGCAGCCCAGAAGGGGCTGGGCAGGGGAGGCAGAACCCACAAACAGGATTCTCCTCCCTGACCCCGGCTGGCACTAGGGGGGCCGGGTTGCTGTAGCTGCGACTGTCACCCCGCTGGGGGGCCTGGGGGGGCTCCCAAGGCAGACCGCGTGGTCGTGACCCAGGAGGACGCACGGGATGCCACAGAATGAGGGACCACAGTCCTGCCCTCCCCCCTGTGCGAAAGCAAACACGGAAGCAAACCCCAGCTCTTCTCGGCTGAGCCCTCCAGCCTTGGGGTGACGGGCCCCACAAAGTCACTTCTGCAGTGACAGAACAGGCACCTTTCAAAAGCAACAATTTTCGAAGACTCTGCCTGGGAGGTGGCGCCCCAGAAAGCTGCCACCTGCAGCTTCGATCTTCGATTCCTCCAGGCCACATCCAAAACCCAGCACCAGAAGACAGCAGCACCCCAAACGGTGAGATCAGTTGTAATCACGTTCCCCACCCCATGCGGGGGCCTGCGATTCCGCCGGGGGCGTTTGGCCGCACCCCCCCAGCACCCCCCAACCAAACCCACCGTGGGGTCACCCTTGTCACCGCAGGAGAGCTGGGAACCCGGTGCGCCCCCCTGCCCCCATGTCTGCACCCCCCCGCGGCTCTCAGTGCTGCGGCCGTGTTGGTGGGAAAGGCAGGGTGTGGGCGCCCTGGGCGGCAGGAGAGTGCCCCAGAGGAGCTGCGGCGGTGGGTCCCGGGGTGCGCTGGGGCTCTGGGCACGGCTCTGATGCTGTGGGCCCGGCGGGCGAAGCCCCCCGCTCTGTGGCCCCAGGGGCCCTGCTCCTGAGGGTGGCTGGGGGTGGTGCCTGGCAGGCCCCCCACTCACGTCACCCTCCCGCTGGCGCCCACTGCTCCTGCCCCTGGGGGTGCCCAGCCCAGAGGGTGGGAGAGCAGGCAGGATCTCCAGCCCCGGGGTGCGGGCCTCACCCCAGGAGCCAAGGCGCCCACAGAGGCTCGTCCCACAGGGCTGCGCCACTGCCAGGCGAGGCTGGGGTGCCCTCCGCCCCCCAGGCCCTCCACCCCGCAGGCCCGCTCCCAGCCAGGGCCCCACGAAGCACAGAGCAAGCCCTGGGGGCTGCTGCTGTTAGCAAAGATGCCCCCATGCACCCCGCGAGAGCAGGAGCAGCCCAGACTCCAGCTTCCGGAGAGAACGAGGTGGCGGCTCACAGGCCCGTCAGCACCCACGCGGGCAGCGGCCGTGCAGACACAGCTGTGACCCAGCGGCGGCTCGAGCTCCCTGCTCCTGCCTCCTTCCGGGTGCCCGCAGCCCCCTAACGGGGCTCAGCCAGCAAGGCCCGGCCTCCTCCTTGGGAAAAGCCCTTCCCAGCACTGCTGCCCCGCCTGGCTCCACCTGCCCCCCCAGCCCCTCCCCGTCCACCCGCAGCTGATCCTGCCTCTGCCCCTCTAGGGCCCTCTGTGGCTCCCCAGTGCCCTCAGAGGAAGCTCCAGCCCCGGTGAGGACTGGCGTGGCACCTGCCCGTCTTGCCCTCCCCGTCTCTCCCCGCCCCCAGCGCGTCGCCCCCGGCAGCCATGTTCTGGCAGCATTGCAGGCAGTGCCAGCTCTGCCTTTGCATATGCTGTTCCCTCTGCTCGGATGCTGTTCCTGCTTTGCCCACCTAGGGAACTGCCCTCCCTCTCAGCCCAACCCAAACGCCGCCGCCTCCTTCCGTTGCTTTTTCACTGAATGGAGACAGGGTTCGGGGTAGCCCCTGGAGGAGGGCCGCTGTCGGGGAGGTAGCGCCGTCAGCGCCCGGGCGGCGGTGACGCGAGCGCCCCCCACAGGTGCGGCTGGAGCGAGGCGCCAGGCCGGGCTCTGGCGTGGGTGTCTGGCTTCATTTCAGAGCAGGCGCCGGCTCAGTGAGGAGGAAGCGGCAGAGCCGGGGCGTGGCCCCCACGGCGCCCAGCAGTCCTGGCAGCCACAGGGTGGGGTGAGCATTGCCTGGTATCAAGACCCTGCGCCAGGGCTCAGCGCGGTCACGGCGCGCAGGGTGGGCGCGTGGGCAGGAGGCCAGTGAGACGCTGGAATGGTGCACGGTGCCGCCGCGAGCTCGCCCAGGACAGCCGGGTGCCCACTGTGCTGAGCGGCCGCGTCTTTCCAGGGCCCAGTCTCCGCCTCCTTCTCAGCCTCAGGGCGCCAGCGCAGCCGGCGCATCCTCCTGGGTTCGAATCCCACTTTTGCTGCAGACCAGCTGTGTGGCTTGGGGTGAGCGTCCTGGCGTCTCTGAGGGGCCCACTTTCCTCCAGGGAACTGCAAGGTTCTGGTGCCGCTTGGAGGGGCCCAGGACGTGGAGGGGCCGTGTCACGGCGAGGAGTGGTGGTCGACTGAGCGGGCAATGCCCTGAGCAGCTGTCCCGGGCTGCAGTATCTCCCCAGCGCCTTCCCACAAGCCTACTCCCGCCCTCCTGGGCCCCCTGTATTCCCCCTGTGTTGGGGGAAGGGCAGGCCCGCTGCCCCCTGGCTGCTCGGCCACAGCAGAGCCGGCTGGCCCAGCCCGGCCTCTGCACGCCGGCTGTGTGCTCCTCCGTGGTCCGCTCCAACCGCCGCTGGAAGGCACCAGGCCGCGCACAGACAGGCCACGCGCAGAGGGCCGTGGCTGTGGTGGCAGAGGGCGCCTGCTCACCCCTGGGTGGCGAGGCCGAGGCAGGCCCTCAGGGACAGGGCTGGGGGCCAGAGGGCACCAGCGTTCTGCGTGCAGTTTCAGTTCTTTGTGCTGTCAGGGGCACGTGTCTGTCATTACGGGGGCAAAGCAGCTTCTCTCCGGAGTGTCTGCGTCAGCGTTGTGTCTGTTCATCTCCTGTACCTAACGCTTCAGGCGTGTCTCAATGCATCTGAATTCACTCCGGAAAGCTCTTCTACTGGAAGTTTAGTCCATTTACGTTTGTTGTAATCACGGCTGCAGCTGGGCTTGTTCCTGCTGTGTTATTCTGGGCGTCCGTCTGTCCTGACTGTCACCGCCCATTTGTCCCCCCTTTCTGGCACTGAACTTCTTCTGTTTCATTTGCTCAGCTACCATTTTAGAATTTCCACGTGGTCACACGGCACCGCAACACTCCACTGAGGGACAGAACAGGGACGGGATGGTGGTTGCGAGTCTCCTGCTGCCCAGAGACGCCGCAGCACTTTGAGCACCAAGGTGGGTCCCCAGCAGCCACCGCCAGCATCTCCCTGTATGTCTCCGGACACCATCAAGCTCCCTTGTTTTTGCAATTTTTAAACAGATTTATTTATGCACACAAGAACTGGGGTGCAGGCCAGAGGTGCGAGGGCTGTGAGAGGATTCACCAGAGACAGAGTGGGGAGCAGAGCAGGCAAACCCACTGAAATCCACTGCAGAGGGGAGCAGCGGGGAAACAGGAGGGGTCTGCTGCCCCATGGGGGGTCACCCCTGGCCGGGGACGGCGCTCCTGCTGCAGTGGCTGTGATAGCTTCACGGTGCTTTGACTGACCCCTGCGCCCCCAGGGAGGCCCCTCCCTTGTTTTGATTTAATCTTCTCTTATCATAGTCCGGAACACACAAAATCACTCCAGCGTTGCGTCTGCACAGGGAGGGCACAGCCCCCTGACGCCGCTCTCAGAGCTCAACCCCGGCGGGAAGCAACAGGCCACTTTCTTCCTCTTCCTTTTGCAGTTATCTTACAACCAAACACGTGCCCCCGGAGCCCACATTCCTCTCCTCCCCCAACACTACAGACCCCACTTGTGACTCTTAAACCAAGTGTCCCTCAGGCAGGTTCTCAGTGAAGCAAGTGCCAGTGGAGGGCGCGGGCCGGGGGTCCCCTCCCTATGCTGACCCCAGGCCCCTCACCAAGCATATTTGAGTTTCAGCTCAAGCCCTGGAGGTCCCTAGAGGGCAACAGAAGGTTCTCTGAGGCCTGCTCTGTGTCAAGGAGCCTGGCAGGTGGGGGTGGGGGGCGGGGTGGGGAGAGTGGGTCACCCCCATCTTCCCACAGCCAGACCTGACGTGGGGAGGGAGACACGACACCTAATAATCATGCAAGTGACCAGTTCAGTGGCCATGGCACCAACAG